GTGGCTGAATAAATAGCAGTACCCCTACATTTAAAAAAAATAGAAAGAAAGAAAATATAGCTTTGGAAACAGCTCAAAGTGCTGGAGCACATGTTTTGTATACAGAGGCCTGAGAGTGAAGTACAGGAGAGCACTGAACCATCCGAAGAGCTCATCCGAGTAACCCCAGAAATGACCTCCAAATTCTCTGAGCCCTACTATGGAAAATCCAAAATAGAAGACATAAAAAGGGCAGAACTGCTACCATTCCTAACAAAATAAGGGAAAATGTGAAATATTTCTATAAGTTTCTCTCTGGACTTCAAATTTCCACCTGGTAAACAACTAATCTCTTCAGGCTCCATGGAGCCCCTCAAACATGAGAATGGACCCGCTGAGAACCCCAGGTATGCGGCTTTTGTGACACCCCCAGGCCTCTGTGGAAATGGGCAACTTCCACCCATATCCCAGTTTTCCCAGAGCCCAGTGGCCATGCCCACAAACCACTTTCAGTGCCATTTAAACTCATTAACAAACGGCCATGATCCAGAGACTGAAAAATAAATCTCTCAAGAGATCCAAAAGTTGTATCACCCTATTCAAAACCTCAGAATCCCTGGATCGAGTTCTTATGCTCCACTTCACATAACAGGCTTGGGTGTTGGAGAGGGTAACTAAAGGCGGTAGGAAGGTGTTATGGTGGTGGGATTGGTGTTGGCATACTGAATATGGTAAATTACTGTGAACTACTTTATTAAAACAAAATAAAATCAGGAGAAATAATAGATTAAACAGTGGGCAGGCCTTGTATGTGCCTGACCTGTGTTTGATCTCATATGGTCCCCTGAGCCTACCAGGAGTGATTTCTGAGTGCAGAGCCAGAAGCAGGCCCTGAGCACAGATTTTGGGTACAACACCATGCCCTCAAAAAAAAAAAAAAAAGTTTTAGAATCATCATTAGTAGAAATGCAGGCATTCTAATTTTTGATGAAAAACAAAGATTTCCAAAATACATTTTAGAGCAATGTGGTTCTTGAAAATTTATTAAAAATTCTAATTTCAGACCCCAACCCAGACCACCTAAATCAGACCTTCTGGACCAGCAATCTCAATTTAATAAACCCTCACGCCAGGCCTGTAGAAAGTAGCCCTCTAAGAAGCACACCTAGCATGCATCCGACCTGGGTTCAATTCCCAGCAGCAGGCTGTTCCCTAGGAATTGTGGGAAGGACCCCAAACACCACCAGAAATGACCCGATAGCCCTTGGCATCACAGAACCTGCCTAAGTCCACTGGCCTAGTTGACTGAGAATCACCTGTGGGGTTCGCAGACCTCCTGATCACTGCTTGGGCACCTCCCTCCCAAAATTGTTGGAGAAATTGTTGTCTTGCTTCCAATGTAGGCTGTTTACAAGCCATATTTGGAAGGATTAAATATAAAGGGCACTCAGCAATGCCTCTACTAGAAGGTTCAAGCAACAGATTTCAGTCAAAGTTGTAAACATAAAATTGAAGTGGAATTCAGAAAACCAGTAGGGAAATGTGCAAGAAGGCTGAGAGAGGCTCAGCACAAGACTTTGGCAATCCATCTTTGCCAAATCAAGGTCACCCTTAATAGACGACACATAGTACCTAGAAAAGGGATGGATACAAAAGTTTCTGAGTCATTCAAATTCAGAACATATTTCTTCTGCCCTCTCAACAAGAACCTGCACTCTTGCTCTGAGGCTGAAACCCTGAAACCATCTCTGGTAATTTCTCTTCCCATCATTCCTATATCAATAACCACATCCTTAAGACACAACCTCTTCCTTCCCTACTTGTTCAATAAATCATACATCTAAGATTTACAGATTATTTACTAGATGATACAAATTCAGCAGGAAACATGATGGGGAAAGATGTAAAAAAAAAAACCTTTTGTAGAGCTCATTTACATGGAGAGAAAATAAGGTAAATAAGGTAAATAAGTAAAGTATAAAGCATGTTAACTAGTAATGGGAACTAAGGAGAAAAATTAAAGTGTAATGATGATCCAAAGCTTTTTGGAGAAGAGGGCAGGGATTTTTTAATATGGAAGTTAAAAAAAAAACTGATGATAAAAGACACTTTGTGGGGCTGGAGCGATAGCACAGCGGGTAGGGTGTTTGCCTTGCATGTGGCCGACCCGGTTTCGATCCCCAGCATCCCATATGGTCCCCTGAGCACCACCAGGAGTAATTCCTCAGTGCAGAGCCAGGAGTAACCCCTGTGCATCGCCGGGTATGACCCAAAAAGCAACAACAAAAAAAAATATATGCCAGACACTTTGCTTGGTATCTTGAAGAAATTTTGAATGACATGTACAAAGGTCGTGAGATGACTATCAAGCATGTCTGAAGACCAGTAATGAGCCCAATGGGCTTAAGGAAAGGGGTGCCAGGAACCAAATCAGAGCTCATTTTGGGGGATTTTGTTTGTTTTGGGGGAGCCACACCCAGCTTTGCTCAGGGTTTACTCCTGGCTTTACACTCAGGGGTCCCTCCTGGGAGAGTTCAGGGAAGCATATGTGAAGCCAGGGATTGAACTCAGGTCAGCTACATGCAAAGCATGCACCTTTCCCATTTTCTACGTCTCTCTGCAACTCATAGCCCCAATAGGCTAACTAAGGCAGGCACTTCCTGTGTGTGAGATGGGAGATCATGGCAGAGGAAGAGCATTTTAATAAGGTCCTCGGGTCACTCAATTAAATGTAACTAAAAGGATCCAAGCAGGGATGCCCATTATATAGGCTGCTGTACTTTCTTTCTCTACTGATCAAGAACATCATCACCTCCTGTCTGACTTCTATCCACAGCTTTCTTTTATCCAGGATTCCTATTTCCCCACCAACCACAGAATTTAGCGAAAGAGCAGACCTCAAGCTCTCCGCACATGACACCACCTCCCATTATGTCCTAGACCTCAGCCATGTGTATCCAACACACCCAACACAACACACTCATTCAGCATTTCAGATGCTTCTACAAATCTCAACCTTGCTCTTTCTGACTGAAGTACTCCTACTGCCCTACCTCCCAGTTAATCAAATCTTCCAAGATTCATCTCAAATCCTACTTCTGCCATGAACCCCTTCCTGACCCCTGGACTAGGAGAAGTTATTTTATCTGCTTTGAACCTCACACTACTGTGTCTATCCTTTGTGGTCAAAAAGGAAAACTGTAGCTCAGCAGACAAACAATGTCTCACTCATCTGTAATTTTCCACAAGTACAGAAGCTTCTAGAAGATGAAGAATCACTGAGTTCAATGTAAACAAGGTTTACATTGTTTAAAGTTCAAGTTAGCAACAAACTTCTGTAACTCTCATTATCCTCTTGAATTCAATTCAACACCTCTGAGTATTTTATTTAGTAGAGTCATAAAAAAAATCATATACTCTAACATCAACAAAACTCTAGCAGAGAAAAGAAACCTGTCATATTTTATGTTAATTAATAATTCTTAAAATGCTAAATAAAACTTAAAAGATTAAAGTGGGCACAAAAGAATTTTTAGTTTTTCTTAGATTTAAAAGCCATCAAGTTTTCTATTCAGGAAGATACCCAGTTAAATTTAGAAGATTTTAAAATGTCAAACCTCAAACCTCAGGAAAATTGATCTACTTAAATATTTTAAGTGTTTATTTTCATTGCTAAGATTTGGATGCAATCAATGCTAATCTCTTGTTGGGAAGGTGATGCAGATACACAAAATAATTCTTCTTTCCCCTTTGTGGTGTTTTAGAACATTCTTATTCTTGCATAATTTATAATAAGGACTTGAAAACACTGAGTCAGATTTTCCCAATGTCTATCAATAAAATGTGGTGGTAGCCAGTGGAAAAAAAATATGTCTCTGCAATAGTACCAACCAAAAGAACACCCAAGGTTGGTCCAAGTTATTTTCTCTTTAAAAAGTTTGCTGCTAACTTTGCTATTTTACTTCCTGTCTAAAGCAGATAGTGTTGGAAAGCAAATTTGAAATATAAAACAATAACCCGTTGGGTCCCAGATCAGGATCCCCAAAAAGTATCAACATTGCATGCCAATCCATTTCAAATAAAGGAGCCAATGAATGAACAGTCTGATCATTTATAATGGCAGGTTTTATACTTCTGTAAGAGTTAGGCTGCACTAACAAACCCACATTTTTCTGAAACAAAGCATCCATTATACAATGCAGTACTTTAAATATCAGACAGTTCTAAATAAAATAATTGCATAGTTGAATGTCAGTCTGCATGTGTGCATCTGTATCTTTAGGATCTAAATCAGTGCTTCTCAAATTATTTATGAAGAAGGATCATTTATTTGTTACTACTTCTAGTCATGTACTAGTACTTTTGAAAAATATAGAAATGAGAGAAATGAGAGACCTTCAGGTCAGAGCAATTAAAGAGCAGGTAGGACATTTTCTTTGAATGCAAGTGGCAGACCTGAGTTCCATGCCCTGCATTTCATATGATCCCTCAAGCAGTACTATGAGTAATTCCTGACTACAGATTCAAGTGTAATGCCTGAGAGCATCATCAGGATGGCTCAAAGCATCAGGATGGCTCAAAGACAAAAAAAAAAAAAACAAAAACAAAATCCAATAACCAAAATATTAAGGGACCAGAGTGATGGTTTAATTACCTAAGCACATGCTTTTTCTGCAGGGTCCCAAGTTTAATCCCTGGCATTGCATAATCTCCAAGCACCACTTGGGAGCAACCCCTCAGAATTGCCAAGTGTGGACTCCCAAATAAAAGTGTACTAAAGAAGAATTAGAAAATGATGTTTAAGCATACAAAATATAAAACCAGCTTATTATTAGATTCAAAAGAAATAAAATGACTCTGTCAAATTTCGTAAAAATTATCTCAACACTTCATTACAATTTCAGTGCTTATATGGCCACAGAGCAGTTAGGGAGTCCGTGGGCAGAGCACATCTGGGACTGCACTTGGGGCAACAATGATTGAAAGAGCCACATACATAATCATTCAAAACTATACTTTACCTCTGACATCCTTTCCAAATCCCATCGAAGAAACTTTTTTGTCCACTTGTTCATTATTGTTTGACTTCTCTTTCATAACATCATCATCATCACTAACAGTTTCAACGGAAAATTTTTTCTTTCTCTTTTTCTTTTGTCGAGGAGGAAGCTTTTTTGGAAAAGTAAACATTGGGAATATCACAAGAAACATTGCAATGGCACAAAGGAGGAATCCACTCCACCTGAAAAATTGAAAAAATATGAATAGCATTTATGGTTTTGAAGTATGAAGTGTGAAAACAAATCAGCAAAATTGTTAATAAGCAGTTGCTCCAGATAAAACTTTTCTATCACCATCATCTGTCGACAGTAAAAAGCTAGAAAAACTAAGAAAATATTAGTATCCTCCCTTGCTCTGGTATCAACAAGAAATCTATTCAAATGATTTCACTAGTAGCAAAACAAATATTAAAATCAGTAGTCTGCCTAGTATTTGATTCAATTAAAGTATTTCTGAGCATTTCAAGGTTAGTTCTGTAATGAATATTGTCAATCCTACTATAATGTGCATTTTACAATAAATCATTAACACAAATTTAATAGACATATAATACAGACTCAAATACTATTTGGAGGACAGATATATAAACACTTATTTTTAGAAGAAAGGTTTAATAATATCTCATGTGAAATGTACTAACATTGATAATGGAATTCAAGATTTTTCTACAAACACTTAAGGAAAGTGTTGGCCCCTCTAATACATAATGGTAAATAAGAAGTACACATTTCTTCTTCAGCCCCATTTTGATATAGCTCCTTAAAAACCTTTGGAGAGGGGCTGGAGCAATAGCACAGCGGGTAGGGTGTTTGCCTTGCACGTAGCCAACCTAGGTTCAATTCCCAGCATCTCATATGGTCCCCCGAGCACCGCCAGAAGTGATTCCTGAGTGCATGAATCAGGAGTAATTCTTGTGCATCGCTGGGTGTGACCCAAAAAGCAATTAAAAAAAAAAACCCTTTGGAGAGAAATGATGGTGTCTTTTGTCATATTGATGAGATGAATTTCGGAAGGCCCCAGGTCAACTTGGGGGGTGGTGGTCATCCAGGACAACCATGTGATCAGAGGTGAAATTTTTCCAGCCGGACATCAGTTCACTTTACAGAAGATGAGAGGGGTTGGAGCTCCTCTGGCCAATGATTTAATTATTCATGCCTATGTAAAGGAGACTCAACAAATATCCAATAAATATATTGGGAAGCTGTGATTGTTGGTCCTGATGGCTCAATCCTGATAATTTTTAAAAGTTTGTTTGAAAAAGGAAAAATAATCAATAAAGATATCATCCCTCAGAGAGTTTCCTGGTGGATGAACTCCTGTCAACGGGTAGAGTGACTGCTGAAAAGAGGTGAAGCGCGGAAGAAACTGGCATATTTACTGCAGTTGATTGCTCCTGAGTGGCTGACTAGATTCAGGTGCTGCATGCTTAGAGAGTGAAAATCAGGCCTACAAAATACAAAGCATGTTCTCAGAGCTATCTTTCCAGCCCTGCATGTTTTCTTTTTTTTTTTAATCATTTTTTTTATTAGTGAAACACCATGAGGTACAGTTATAGACATAAATTTTTGTGCTTGGGTTTCAGTTATACAATGATCAAGTACCCATCCCTCCACCAGTGCCCATCCTCCCCCACCACGGGTCCCAGCATCTCTCCCACTCCCCATCCCCCCCGTCCCACCCTGCCTCTGTGGCAGGGCATTCCCCCTTGTTCTCTCTCTTCTTTTGGGTACTGTGTTTTGCAAGAGAGGCATTGAGTAGCAATCATGTTTGGTCTATAGACTACTTTTATCTGCATGTTTTCTTTTATGTTAAATTGGTCATCAAGTAAGAAAAATTCCCTGAGTTGTTCTCACAAATGAATGAAACCTAAGAGGTATCCTAGGAAACTTCCAGTCTATAACCAGTTGATCATAGTATAGATGACAACCTGGACTTAACATAACTGCCCTATAAGGTCTAAGTGAAGGATCTTATTTGACTGAGCACCTAATGTGTAGGATCGAGTACACTAGATTAGTAAACAGACTGTACATAATTGAGTTAAATGATGGGACACCCAGTGGTGTGGGAGTATTTCAGAGTGATAAAGAAACATAAATTGAACTTGTGGGCAGAAACTCTAGTCCATCTTTGCGTTCTTCATGATAAATACTTAAGCAAGGATGAAGACTACTCTTTAAACTCGGTCTTTGCCTTCAAGAATTTAACCTCTAGCTACACAATAGTGCAGAGGGTAGGGTGCTAGCCTTGCATGCAACCGAGCCGGGTTCGATCTCTGGCACCCTATATGATAAACTGAGCAACTCCAGAAGTGAACCCTGAACACAAAGCCAGAAGCAAGTCCTGAGTCAGGAGTGGCCCAAAAAACAAAAAGAAAAAGATGTAATACCTACATATAATCATGTTTAAAGATGCAAGTAATTTCCAAGAAAGGTAAGAAAGCATACAATTAAATGTTACATCATATGGGATCAACTATGAGTATCGTAAAATTTAACAGAAGGAAAATCAAGGTGTACCAGAAATTTTCGTGGCAGTCAATTTGAATTAAACAGAATTGTGATTCTTTGTCATTACCCCATTTGAAGCTGCCATGCTGCTAAACCTAGGAAACATAGTACAGAACTTTAGAGCTTCTAAGTCCATCTTACTCTCATCCTGTCATCTTTATCAACATTTTACCATCAGTTAAATGTTGCAACATTCTAGCATTAATGTCAAGTTCAGCCCAGTAAGAATAGAGATCAACTGCAAAATGAGAATTCATTTCTCTAAAAAAAAAAACTTTCCATTAAAGTACTTTCAAGTGCTAGAAGCTGATTGGATTATTTCTAGAATCAGTCATTAATAATCCAGTGTGCCATTTTAATAATATTTTAAATTATAGCAAATAAAAATGTTAAGGCAATCAAATAAAGGGCCTTGAGGAGACTGCTCAGTCTAGACTTCTAACAACCGCAATTATTCAGAATAGAATCATGACCCCAGTGCCTGTCACACATTCGGTACTCAAAAATTTTTCCTGAATAAACAAATTGAATAAGATTTATTTAAGAAAAGAAATAAAGTCATATGTCTACAGAAAATAGTACTTTGCTCCTTTAGTACTTGGGCCCCTTTGTACTTGGCTGCTTAGGGAACCTTTGCTAAATCAAATGAGCTCATCTACACATCTTGGTTCTCTGGGGGAAAAAAATGCGCATGAGTCCTTGGTCGTTCTCAGTTCTTTAAACCTCTCACACTCTTAAGTAGAGAACAGAGATGATGGCCAGTGAGGCAGGGCAAGTGACAGCACACATGACTTATTTGTAGGAGTCCCCGCGTTTGATCCCTACAATGCACACCCATTCCCTTCACGCAACCCAGAACTACTGGGTATGCCCCCCACAATAGGGTCCAAAAAAGGAAAAGGCAGAAAGTTAGTGTAAGGGACAATTCCTGGGTTGCAGTTTCAGACTTCTCTGGTTTTTATCCTATTTTTACTAACTACTGATCCAAAATCTTGGGGAAATTATTTCACTTTTCTGGAATGACTTTTTTTTCTATAAAAAGGGGGAGTTCATTATAAGACCATGTATATAATTTGTCTAATAAAATGCCTCAATTTATGATAGCATCATTTATATTTTTATTTTCCTTTATCTACACTCAGGTCCACTCTGAGGCACTGACTTAAAATTTTATGCTAGCATTGAAAACACACTAACCCAACAAAGAGATATATCAAGAAGCTAGCCACAGCACATGCTTTGCATGAGGGAAGTTTGGTCCCCTAAACACCTCCAGGAAGGACCCCAGAGCACAGAGCCAGAAATAGCCCCTGAGCATGTCTAGGTATAGGCCCAAAAACAAATGAAAAAAAATCCCATGCTGATAATACTTCAAACAGAGTTTAAAAAGCAGCAGAGTTGTAACTGATGAACAGAAATAATATACACTTTTCCAGTCATTTCAAAATGGTAAATTAACCCACATTCTTCAATAGTCTCTAGTAATATTTAGGTTACACATGGCATCATGATGATGATAGAAGCCTAGGTGGGGGCAGAGAGATAGTTCAAAAGGCTGTGAACATATTTTGCATGCAGGAGGTCCCGCTTCAATCTCTGACACCATACTAAGTACTGCCAGGTGTAACCAAAGAGACAAAGAATAAAAGTAAAGAAGAACTTAACACAAACTGAGTTAGACAACAAAGTGTATATTGTTTTGCCTAGAAAAGACAGATGTATGAGACCTGTCACTGAAAAGCCAAGATCCCAAGTCACTTTCAGGAACTTTACTCAGAGACTGTGTATGTGGAATGGAGGAAACTTGAATGTCATTCAAGTACATTGATTGTGAAACCATCCTTCCAAAATGTATACATGATTATTAGTAAAGGTAAATCAATAAAATTTTTTAAAAAGTGTCCTCTGCTCTGGACTCAGTTTCTTAATAAAGTTATCACTAATTATTGACTTTGGACAAGTTTTTTTTTAATTATGTGTCAATTTCCTCATCTACAAAATGGATATACTGGTGACTGTGTGTGGCTTTCATGAGATTTAAATGAAAATGTACTCTACTACATAGCTCTTTTTTTTTTAATTGAATAACCATGACATTCAGTTACAAAGCTTTCATGTTTGAGTTTCAATCATACAATAATCCAACACCCATCCCTCCACCAGTGCATGTTTTCCACCACCAATGTCCCCAGTATCTCCCCCACCCCAATCACAACCCTCCCCCTGCCTCTATGGCAGATAATTTCCCTCATACTCTCTCTCTCTACTTTTGGGCATTATGGTTTGCAATATAGATACGGAGAGGCTATCATGTTTGGGTCCTTTATCTACTTTCTATAGCTGCATTCTTAGCCCCAACTACAACCTTATCATTTCTAAAGAGACTTCTGCTACTGCAACCTCTATCATTTGTAAAATATTGAGCCATGAAAAGAAAACTACTGAACATTGATCAAATTCAAGGCACTGAAGGACAGCTGCACAGACTGTGAGGGAAGAACTATTAAAGCTCTATGTGTATAAGAAAAACAAAAATAAAAGCAACAAATATGCATATATAGATAGTTTCCTCACAATATTTTGAAGTAGTATTATAGACTTCCATTTTTAGGGATTTTAAAAAGAGTAAGAACTAAAATAGGGAGAGTTTAAGTAAAATCTCCAAGATCACATAGCTATTATGTGGTAGACTGGTATTTAAACCCAGAGGAATATAGCTTAAGGTCTACACTCAGACTTGCTCCACTTTGCCACCCATTGGACTGCTTGATTTACTAAAAAATTTTTTTCGCGCCTGCCTCCTTTTTCCTTCTTGCCCCTGAGTTGGTCCTCCTCACCTTGCTCTCTCCCTTCAAGTGTTCCCAAGTCATGGATAGCTAGATAAAACACAAAACATATGTAGTATTTTCATAAATATATCTGAATAATCTGATTTTCTGAGAACTAAAAAAAAATCCCCTAATCTGATTATTTTGCAAACTGCAAATAAAAAGGTAGTAGAGACCAAAGACTATACTATTGGTCAATAAACTCAAAGTTCCTTTGACATTTACTCCCTTAATGCTGATAAGGGATTTTATTCTTATGTGATTTGGAAATTCTAGCAAGTCAGATTCATCTAAATCTTCCATTCTTAAAGAACCATACTTATAAAAATAAGTGTGTGGGGCTGGAGCGATATAGCACAGCGGGTCGGGTTTTTGCTGCGGCCGACCCAGGTTCGATTCCCAACATCCCATATGGTCCCCCAAGCACCACCAGGAGTAATTCCTGAGTGCAGAGCCAGGAGTAACCCCTGTGCATCACCAGGTGTGACCCAAAAAGCTAAAAGAGAGAGAGAGAAAGAGAGAGAGAGAGAGAGAGAGAGAGTAAATGTATATAACATTTAATAATTACTGATTTGTGTTTAGTGGACTGGGGGAGGATGTTGGGGCCATAAACTGTGAGTGCTCAGGGTTCAGTCCTGGCTTTGTGCTCAGGGGTCTTTTCTAGAAGTACTGGGAACCACATTTTCAGGGATTCAAACTAGGGTTGGCTCTCTGCAAGGCAAGCACCTTAACTTCTGTACTATCTCTCCAGTCCAACAGTTAATGTTTTCTAACTGTTTTGAAAGTAGTAGTAAATAATAGTTCTATGACCCTCAGAGTTTTGAGATCATTACATTATAATGAAACATAAATTAGAGAGAGAGAGAGAGAGAGAGAGAGAGAAGAAAAGCATCTACTATAGAGGCAGGCAAGGGGTGGGGGTGGAGGGTGATGGGAGGGAATCTGGGGACACTGGTGCTGGGAAATGCACACTGGTGGGTGTTGGAATACTGTATGACTGAAATCCAGTCATGAACAGCTTTGTAAGGGTATATCTCACAGTATATCTCAACAAAAAAGTTTTTTAAAAATTATTGAATATAAAGACTTGAATATAAAATCTGAAACCATAAAAAAATAGAAATGTACTCTTCAGAAAATAATTATTTCTCATTTAGCACTTTTTTTTACTTTTTTTGCAGTACTGGGGATAGAACCAGAAACCAGAGACTCATACCTACAAGACAAGACTCTCACTCAGAGCCACACCCCAGCCCTCAATTCTGAATACTAAAGTTTATACTAAATACTAAATACTTAGTTTCTTAAAATTTCACTAAAGTGTGCTCTTAGTTTCTTAAAATTAAAATTTCTTATCAACACATATATTTATTAATCCACGTTTAGTGATTCTGGGATGCCAATACTTTCGGTTAATGCTTGCAACCATGAAGCTACAGCTTGCTGTGTTGGAACCGAGGAATCTTAAGAACTCAAAGACAGCATTGCTATTTTGGATAAATAACCAACCATCCAAAGTTGGAGTTCGCACTATTTAGCAAGACAATTAGGGACAAGCAGGTGGGGAGAAAGCAGCTAATTTCCCAGCATACAGGGGGAAAGAAGCTGTTACCCAGCGACAAGATTCACTAAAAGTGTGAGGGCGGAACAGTTGGGCTAGATTTGGAACGGGGGGGGGGGGGGGGGGGGGGGGGGGGGGGGGGAAGGGTGACAAAGTAAGAAACACAAATACAGGAAGGAGCAAGCTGGAAAGAAGGTATTTCCATAAGACGCAGGGAAGTTCATGAAATCTCGGATTAAACTCACAGCCAGGGGCTGGAGAGATAGCTCAGCAGGTAGGGCATCTGCCTTGCACGCGGCCAACCCGGGTTCGATTCCCAGCATCCCATATGGTCCCCTAAGCACCACCAGGAGTGATTCCTGAGTGCAGTACCAGGAGGAACTCCTCAGCATTGCTGGATGTGACCCAAAAAGCAAAAAAAAAAAAAAAAAAAAAAAAAAACCCAAACCTCACAGCCATATCCACCTTCTCTCCCACTCTGTTCCATAGAAAACAGTCCTAAAAAATATGGTCTGGTCTGCCCAAACTCTTCCTACAGGTTTCCTACTGCTTCTATAACAATCTCACACCACTGGTGGCCTTCCAACAGTACAAATGTTAGAGTCCTGGAGGTTAGACATCAAAACAGCATGCCAGGGTCATATTGCTTAGGAGGTCTGATGGAAAGAAACCCACTTTCTTGCCTTTCCTAATTCCCTTTGTGTCTGTTGACTTAGTTCTTACTCTGGAGAACCTGGCAGGCTACCAAAAGTATCCTGCCCACACGGCAGAGCCTGGCAAACTCCCTGTGGCGTATTCACTATGCCAAAAACCAGTAACAATATGGTTCTCATTCTCCTGACCCTGAAAGAGCTTGGAATGGGGCACTTTTTAAAATCTCAGGGCTAGGATGAAGGAGACGTTACTGGGGCCTGCTCGAGGCAATCGATGAACAACAGGAAGATAGTTATACAGTGACTTACGGTATCTTCCTCCATCTTCAAAGTACATCATTGCAACCTCTGGTTCAATCATCCTAGCTCCTTCTCTTTCTCTGACCCTCTTCTCTCCCTCTTTCCTTTACGTGTGACTGTACTGGGTTCCTAGATAGACAGGGATAATCACCCCATCTCAGACCACTAACCCAGCCACATCTCCAAAGTCCCTTCTGTCATACAACATGAAACTGGAACATGGACAGCTTAAGGGGGCAACTTTTCTGCCTATCCCAATCTTCCTGATGATTCTAAATTACTCTTGACCTTTCCATTGGAAATTCATATATATTTTTTTTCTTTTTGGGTCGCACCAGCAATGCTCAGGAGTTACTCCTGGCTCTGCACTCAGGAATTATTCCTGGCAGTGCTCAGGATGGGATGCTGGGAATCGAACCTGGATCGGTCACATGCAAGGCAAACGCCCTATCCACTGTGCTATCGCTCCAGTCCCAGGAAATTTATTTATTTATTTATTTATTTGTTTGTTTGTTTATTTTTTGCTTTTTGGGTCACATCCGGCGATGTTCAGGGGTTATTCCTGGCTCATGAACTCAGGAATTGCTCCTGGCGGTGCTCGGGGACCATATGGGATGCTGGGAATCGAACCTGTGTCGGCCATGTTGGCTGCGTGCAAGGCAAATGCCCTACCTGCTGTGCTATCACTCCAGCCCCAAGGGAAATTTATATTTTAACCACAACAACTCACTGTAGTATAAATAAGGTTAGTGATTAATGAAGTGACAACTCTAGTGAAGAACTCTTACCAGTTTCCAATGAAACGCGGGTCGCTCTGGTCAAGATGAACAGGATTTCTGGGATCAACATAAAAACCAATAAGAAGTCCACCTAACAGATAGCCCACTGCAGGGCCGAGGGCTCCCATGACGTACATGATGGCTGAGAAAAGAAAAGGGGAAAGATGAAATCCACCAACGTGTCTTTTTTGTTTCCATCATAGATTTCAATTAGACCATGCATATGTCACAGCTAACTCCAGTTAAAATTTCCAAAAAGAGAGAAGGGACTGCATTGAAGATTGGTCTTCGGGTTTTTAGTCGTGTCCTTACTTAAACTGTTGCTTGTGGTCCTCTTAGAATGTCAGGAGCACTTTTCAATGGCTTTGTTTTCTTTTTTGTTGTTTTTTAGTTTCCCTCTCCGAGAGTCCGGCAAGCTACAGAGAGTATCCCGCCCGCATGGCAGAGCCTGGCAAGCTACTCATGGCGTATTCAATATGCCAAGAACAGTAACAATAACGGGACTCACTTTGTGTTCCTGGAGCGAGCAGACACCATTGAGCTACACTAGCATACGACAGAGACGAATAGAAGCGTTACTGGTGCCCGCTCGAGCAAATCGATGAACAATGGGACGACAGTGCTACAGTGCTACGGTGCTACAGTGCTATTTTTTAGTAGAAGGGCTCAGGCCCCACCCCACAGTCACTGAATTTAAATGTCTGCAAACACAGATCTAGCTTATTAATGAGGTGACCACTTAACAACAGAGAAGCTCAAAGGACATCTCCAGAAGAAAGAGAAAACAAGTAGATGTCATTCATACATACAGCTGAGAGAGTCTCTGAAGTCCTTGAAGGAATTGGAGGCCAGAGTTTACTGAGAAGCAAGAATTGACTAACTTGGCAAAGCTGTCTTTGTAGCATCAAATCACTAATATATTTCAAGTCAGCACTTCAAATTCAAAGATCTTGCAACACACTTGATATATTAATTGAAGGATCTTACTTAGAGATTACTCAGTATCCTTAAATTGCATGAGACGGTCCAAAAGTAAAGCTCCAACCGACATCTGATTTAATAAATAATCTTTTGTTCATGCATTCATTTTTATTTTATGGGGACCACACTTGGCAGTTCTTGGGGACTAATCCTAGTGCTGGGCTCCAAGGCAGTCCTGGGGGACGATGTGGTGCCAGGAATGAACCCCAGCCCCCTGCATGCAAAGCATCTGCACCGACCCAATGAGCTATCTCTCCAGTCCTAGAAAAGAATCTTTCCAAGCACAAGTCCAGAGGAAGGTGGGGTGGGAGTCATACTGTCAGCAGAGAAGGGAGGCGTCAATCTACCCCAAAACTCCAACCCTCGGTGGAGGGATGGGTATTTGATCATTGTATAATCGAAACCCAAGCACAAAAATTTGTAAGTCTACTACTGTACCTCATGGTGTTTCACTATTAAAAATATTAAAAAAACAAAAAAAAAACTCCAGCCCTCCCAATGAGCTTATAAAAAACCTCCTAATTCCTTTATATTGTTTTCACTGCTGTGATTTGCATTTTTTTAATAAAAAATAATTTGACATTTTTATTTTTAAGTCAAGGTAGAATATAAAATTCCTTGAAGATTATTTAAATGTAAAAATTCTAGTCATATTCCAAACCTATTTATTTTTGTCATCTTGGAACCCAGTGATTTAGGAACAAATAAACACTTCTGAGGCTGTCCCATGGATCGGGCAGACTAACACACTCGACAATTATGTGTGACCCATTTCTACTTGGTGTCATGCATTCTCATCACTGAGTTGGTGAACTTGCAATATCTTTTCTGTAAAACTTTATTTACCAGAAAGCAAAGTGGAATAATCACAGTAGAGCTTCACCTGACTTTCGTATCTGCTGCTAAATAAACTTTAAATCATCTTTTTAAGTTTTGTTTAAGGCCCCGTGATTTACAGTCGTGTTAAGGGTTTTGTGTGAACAACATTCCAACACCACACACTGTGCCAGAGTGTTCTTCCCTCCACCATTGTCTCAGTGCCCGCACTCACCACCCCCGCAACAGCCTCCAGTTCTACAGACCTGTTCTCATTCACTTTGAATAATTTTGTACCTTCTGTTACTTCTAACTACAGACCATCAGTTAACACCTGTTCTCACTTTCAGACTATTCCACAGGAGAAAGGACAGTGTTTATTTCTCTTTTAGACTCATCTGTTCGAACAATAAGTATTAAGTTCACTGACTTCTCCATCTGTGTTTGGAAAAGGAAGGAAGATGGTGGCAAGGGGCAATTAATTGAGGTTCTTTGGGAAACATTCTTTTACTAAAATACAATTAGAATTTCAATAAATCTTTTGTTAACGTCTCTGGTGAGAGCCTCAACAGAAGTGTAGAATAGAAAGTATTTTTTTAGTTCCACTTCATATGCATATGAAGACAAAATTCACGTTTACACCTTCAGGCAAACCAGCACCATTTACAACTTAAAGCTGAAATGAGGCCAAAATGTGACATGAATCATCTTCCCCAAATAGTTCTGGCATGAAAGAGACTGTCTTACACACACAGACCAGGAAAGGGGTATTTCCGCCGAGCTGTTTATGCCCAGGGCACTCAAGCGCAGAGTCTTGGCATGCCAAGAAATGATGCGCAAGTTGCATGCTGGCAAGACCTTGGAAGTGGGCTGGAATGGAAAAACAATTAAATAACATTTACGAGAATACCTTAACTATAAACTACACAGATCAAGCTTTTAACGCTATGTTATTGGAAATGGTCTTTTTATTAGGACGCCAACACCTCTAAGTACAATAATATTATTTTCAGTAACAAAATATGCATGTATATGTATGTGTACATGCATGCCTTTCCACAGAGACAAACTATATGCTATTCTATGAAACTATACTAAGCATATTAAAAGGTGTTTGGAGCAATAGCACAGCGGGTAGGGTGTTTGCCTTGCATGCAGCCTGACCCGGGTTCGATTCCCAGTATCCCATATGGTCCCCTGAGCACGGCCAGGAGTAATTAGTTCCTGAGTGCATGAACCAGGAGTAACCCCTGTGCATCACTGGGTATGACCCAAAAAGAAAAAAAAAATATGTATTTATAAATACGCATAACTTTATTTATCTATATTTATGAACACATTGACATGATCACAGAGTATCTCCCAGAGTGATCCATTGGTCCCTGAGCACTGATTTGAAGGATCAAAACAATAAAAAATTCAATTAAACTTATTTAGATTTTTTTTAAAGGCACAGGTACTTGGAATTGGAGAAATGATAGTATAGCCGTAAGGAATTTGCCGTGCATGCAGCCAACCCAGGTTCTATCCTCAGCACCCCATATGGGTCCCTCAGCCTGCCATGTATGATCCCTGAGCACTGCCAGTTGTGGCCCACTGCACTATATATGTGTGTGTGTATGTATACATACATATATATATATATATGGGTGGATTATATTATATATTTATGGCACAGACTCTAAACTTCTGGGTTCAAATTACAGCTTTAATTTTTTTACTTTTGCAAGCCATTTAACACCCTAAATCCCAGTTCTTTTCCATTGTGATGATCAAAGTACTTGTTCATAGGTAGTTTCAGGCATTCAATGAATTCATTCTTGTAAAATATCTGGAAAGGCCAGCTCAATGGTGAGAATATGCTGACTTAGATGCTATAATTATTATGTTATACTTACCGATGCACATAGTTTGTGATTGGGCGAGGAAGACAGTTGAATAAATATTTATGGGTGGATTATAATCTCTGCTAACCACAGCTTTGGTTTCTATATACAGATGCTTTGGCATTGAAGGGTGGGCCCTGGAGGGATCACTCCTCCCAGATGAGCCAACCTCATGCTAACAACTCACAAGAGAGCAGAGTTTCAAGTACAAAGGAGCCTATTCACAACTCACAGCCAGCAGACTCACACTGGCCTAACCACACCTTGGTCCCTCTCCAATAAAATCACCCCCAGGGTACCAACACACACACACACACACACACACACACACACACACACACACACATACAATTGTGCCATGAGGTGAGAGTAATTCAAGAGGACAGATATCTGAACCCCACTGACTGTGGTGGGTAACTCAAGCAACCCTTTATTATACAAAAATGATTTGAAAACTCCCAAAAGGTATCAGCTGTAAGACATAAACTTCACTGGGCCTTAGAAACTGAGGCACCCCTCAAAGTCAGCAAAGACTCTAATATCACAGATAATCTCCTTTCTGTCCTAGTTCCCAAAATGTTTGGATTTGGCTCCACGTGATGAGGGCAGAGATCATTCACCCTTTTGAGCACTCTGTGATGACACTTGTGAGAATAAGCAGCAAGACTTTCAAGCTAAGATTTAGGGGCTGGAGAGATAGTACGACAGGGGAGACACTCGCCTTGCACACAGCCGACTGAAGTTTGATCCTTCAGCACCCCCATCTGATTCCCTCAAACACTGCCAGGAGTGATTCCTGAGCACAAAACCAGGAGTAAGCCTTGAGCATAGCTGGGCGTGGTCAAGCAAGCCAAAAGAGAAAAGCAACTGAGATGGAGAATCCTGCAAAAAGAAAGCAGGCTCACTGTGTAAGTACAAGAAGCTCCAGAAATACGATATGGTCCAGAATAGTATTATGATGCGTTGTAGCTAGATGGGCAAGAATATAGAGAAGTCTTCACGAAAAACTTGATTTCTGGCACAGCCAGCAAGGCTGGAAGGAAGGACCCTAGGACGAGGCCACCCCACCTTCCACCAAGGACAAAAGCAGGCAAGCTTGGGAGAACATGGTCTGAGGGAAGAAACAGCCACCCATGTTATTTTATTAGTGAAACACCATGAGGTACAGTTGTAGACTTACAAACTTTGGTGTTTGGGTTTCAGTCATACAATGACCGAGTACCCATCCCTCCACCAGTGCCCATTCTCCACTACCAATGATCCCAGTAGCCCTTACACCCTCACACCCCACCCTGCCTCTGTGGCAGGGCATTCCCTTTTGCTCACTCTTTCCTTTAGGGTGTCGTAGTTTGCAATAGAGGTATTGATTGGCCATCATGTTAGGTCGATAGTCTACATTCAGCACACATCTCGCATCCCAAGACAGTCCTCTAAACATCCTTTACTTGGTGTTCCCTTC